ATAGATAGATAGATAGATAGATAGATAGATAGATAGATAGATAGATAACTAGATAAATAAATAACTAGACAAATAAATAAATAAATAGATAGATAGATAGATAGATAGATAGATAGATAGATAGATAGATAGATAGATGTGTGCATGCACGCTTATGCATGTGAACAATCACATGCGTGCCACAGGGATGCGTGTCAGTGCTGGAGTCAGTTCTCCCCTTCTACCATGTAGGTCCCTGGGATAGAACCCAGGTCATTAAGCTTGACAGTAAAGGCCTTAATGCTGAGCCATCCCACTGCCCAGTAACTGTATTCAACGAACAGGTATGTCTTGCTACGTGGACAGAAAAGTTTGATAAATTTCAGGAGCTAAGATCATACCGCTTAGATTTCTAGAACACATGCAGGATGATCTCTGAGATGCACAGGGTCCCAGAAAAAATATTTCTTGTGGAGTCCTACATATATACAACTCTGAGATATCCCAAATCAAGGTGTTAGCACGGTTCATTTTAGATACCTAGTCTTGTGTGATTGCATGAAGGAAGTACTGTGTGCTGGCAACTGGGAGAGTTCTAATAACCAGATGTTCCCCTAAAACCAGGGCAATAGCCAGGTCTTCCCACCAGACCAGCGCATATGCATGAATACCAAAACCCTCTACACAGGAGATCACCCAATTGGGAAGAAGTGGTAACTGAGACCCTCGATGTTACCACACTTAGACCCTGCTGAGACAGCGGTGCTGTCTATAGCCAGGCCCAGCCAAGCCAAGGGAGATGATGCAACTGCGGCCCGGGGAAGGAGCCATTAGAAACAGTACAAGATGATTCACTACATTATCATTTGCCATAGCAGAAAAAAAGTCTTGTGAAAGCCCGCCAGCCTGGGTCATTGTGTGACTTCTTACAACGAAGCACCATGTAGACTCACCCACTCAGTACCACAGTGAAAACATGGAAGACAAGCAGCCTGGAGGGTGGCCTAGCTGAAGAGAGAGCAGAGAGTGATACGGGCAAGAGAGGCACCCCAGGAAGATAAAAACCAAAGTCACTCATCTCAGCGGACAGTTAGAGGAGCCCCACACAGGAAGGCACTGCTTAGTTAGCCTTCCTTGGCCTGACAGGGCCAGCCCAGTCCCCTCTGAGGCTGAGGTATTAACAGAGAGGTGCAAATGTGGGCAGCTAGACTCCCCTGAGAAAATGTGGGTGCTGCCTCGACCGCGTTTACAAACAGCTGTTAGCAGCAAAGCTCCATCCTGGCTGATGGAAAACATGAGGACGACAGTGATTAAGGAGCCAAGCACAATGTTCAGTCCCTGTGCACAAAGCTCAAGGCCACACTTACTGGCTGCGTGTCCTTGAGAACATTTCTCTCTTCTAAAAATATCTCATTAGCATATATTAATTATAGAAAATAATTGGCCTCGTTATGACATTTCTGAACTATATCCTTAACCTCTCTCATGTTGGGCCTCTTTATCAGATAATAGCTCAGGGGCCAAAATGAATAAACCTACAAAGTTGTTTAAGCGAGTACCTGTCATGATAAATGTTAACCACCGTTATTATGCACGATCATGACAAATGTGTAAATGACAAAAACAGGCAACAGAACAGTTCATCATATCCTCCCAACCCTCAAGAAACAGAACAGCCTTTTTGTTGACTATCTGTTTACAAATGGAGGCCTCCAGAATGGTGCGCAAACAGCAAAGGGAGGGAAGATACCAGCCAGGGCAATTTCGCACCCCTCCTTGTGCACCCTAGAAGCAGCAAGTGTGACCTTTGCAATAAATATAAATTGCCATTTCTGTGCCACCATTATGTCACCGACTCCACTGCCATTACTGACAAACTTTAACATCTACCCAGGCTGAGCAAATCAAAACTGTACTTTATACAGTTTTTCCTCATGTTTTTCCATCCTTGACAGTTAACTGAGAATTATAAAAACTTTGAAAATTTAAGAATTCTGATATATATATAATATATAATATTATATTATATATAATATATAATATATATATATATATATATATATATATATATATATATACACTGCTATTACCAAATAGCAGTAATGAAACTTTGGGAGAACGGGAAAGGTAGAGCAATTTGCAATGGATAGCATATACATTCTAGACCACAACCTAAAAAGAATAATAGTGACTTCAGATGACCTTCTTACCAAACATTAATTAATCTTATATCTAATATTAATCTTTTAAGTGAGATTAATTAATACACATTTAAAAGTTCTCTTTCTGTCTAAATATGAAGATCAGAAAACAACTAGTATTATATTGTTTGGAATTATCTCTCCATCTTGCAAGTAATTTGTACATCAACTCCCCAAATTATCTTCTGTGACTACAGTGCTTTACAATAATGTGCTATTTAGAGACATAGCAAGATGAACTCTCATTTAAAAGGGAAAATAAGAAGAGACGACCAATTAACTGGTCATAAATCTCTTTAATGGGTTTCATTTCAGACATGCAATCCTGAGTCCAGGAAGCTAATGCGGGGGGGGGGGGGAGTGGAAATGTTTAACACAGTGCTAAGACTTACAGAATTACATTTACTATGCTGTGGAAATGGGTCCTGATTAGAGAAAGAACAATAAAAATACTTTAAAAACAAACAGTAGGGCAGAAAATATCTGTCTGTATTACTGAAGGAAACTAAACCTTCTTCCTCCAAGGTCCCCTCCCCTGACTCCGACGTGCACCCAACTTCTGGCCATTTCTGGGAAGCTCTTGTTTTCAAAGCTTTGAGCATGCTGTCCTGACTCACGAGGGCCCTCCATTCCTGCCGTTGCTTGACAGTCTCACAAAGTTCCCATGGAAAGGTCTCCTTACCCTGACTTTCTGCCCTTGCCCTTGAGAATAAAGATGCCAAAAAAACACTTCTCACCTGTTTCCACCGTCCTCTCTTTACCTGAACCCTCCTGTAACCTTACATTCCTGAACCATGACCTTCTGGGACACAGAACATAGGTGTCCACACCCACTCTAGCAAGAAAGATGTACTGGTCAGCCTTCTGTTACTATAATTAAACAACCCACGGGCAGACTTTTTTAATTAAAAGAAAAGGTTGGTCTGAGAATGTAGCTCAGTGGTAGAGCACACACCCAGGAAGCATGAGGCTTAATCTCCATGATCAGGAGAAACAAAAACATAAGAAGAAGAGGAAGGAGGAGGAGGAGGAGGAGGAGGAGGAGGAGGAGGAGGAGGAGAAGGAGAAGAAGAAGAAGAAGAAGAAGAAGAAGAAGAAGAAGAAGAAGAAGAAGAAGAAGAAGAAGAAGAAGAAGAAGAAAAGAAGAAGAAAGACATTTATTTGGGCTCATAGTTCTGGGAGTACATGCAAGGTATAAATGACATAGAACAGCTCTGGCCGGAGCCCAAAAAGCTATACCATGTAATGATGGGAGAAAGAGTGTGTGAGTGTGTGTGAGTGTGTGTGTGTGTGTGTGTGTGTGTGTGTGTGTGTGTATGCCTTGGGGGTGGGAGTAGTTTCTCCCACACTCTTGTAGAGCCACATGATTCAATCGTGGGGCTCTACTTTAACACTCTAACCTATTCACTCCACAGAGGCTACTTAACACCACTAACACAGGACTTTGGGGATTGAACCCCTGCA